CTCACACACACGCACACGCACGCACACAGACGCGCACACGCACGCGCACGCACGCGCACGCGCACACACACACACAAGCACACACTGAGTCTCACGCACACACACACACACACACAGAGGCAAATCGTGACTTGCCTCCTTCGTGGCATCCTGCACTAGAAGCTGGGAGGACTTGGTCGGTGTGGCGCAGACCTTGTGGCGTCCCGACTGTCACTGCATGCTGTTCCGAATGCGATCCACCAGCTGTGAACGTGCTTGAATGAACAAACAAAGAGACAATCACAGGCAATCAGTGCTTGCCGCCGTTTCGTGGATGGCTCGCCTCTTACGTGAGCGGGGCAGGTGCACAAAGGAGTGGCACATCGTATCGTAGCGTGATTCTCTGCGGTGGTCGGTGCACTCTCGGAGGAGTTTCTGTATCCGCCGAGAAGATGATCTGCCCATTGGAAGGTTTGGCCGTAGAGCGCCACAATCTGCCTATAGCCTATGACTTGTGCCTCGGAACGGACCACCTGGCCGATGGTGAGAATTGGTTCCAAGGCACCGAACGTACCACTGACTGGTTCGCGCGGCATGGCCTGGAAGACCACACAATGGAAACCCCGACAGCATCTTCTGCCACTGCAACTTTTCGACAGTATCCCGCGAACTTCCCCCCGGCGGGAAACACACTCATTGCCCTCGTCGCCCGCTGTGCTGAAGTGGGCGAGCTCGCGCCAGAAGTTGGTCGGCAGCTGCAAAGGTTGGAAACATAGTGAATCTTGCTCCACAAGCGCGTCCTGACTGCACCTATCTACTCAAACGAAGCGACATGATACAGCCGCTGCTGACTGATTGCAGTCTGCATGCTGCGTGCTGCCGTGCATTGCTTTGTCAACTTGTTTTAGTCCGCCTCATGGTAAGCCGGACTCTGGACAGCCAGCTCGTGTGTACAGACAGGGCTTTCAGTATCTGGGCTGGTGCCGTATCTTTGTGTGACGCATATTGATGAATCGATGTTGCTTTGGAGCAAAACCTGGCATTGCTAAACTCGCTGTTTGGGACTCGACGTCATGCAATAACGAATCCTGACCACCTGCGGTCAGATGAACAACAAGCTCGCAGCGAAGAAAGGGTGCTGCAATGTCGATGACGGGCCGAAAATCAAAGTTTCTGGAACGATCGTCGACGCAGTAACTGGTAGCTTGCTGAAAAAGCTTTGTTTTGTTCGGCCGTCAGCAAGGGCAACCCCGACGTGACATCTGTGATTGCCCGTGCAAATGCCGAAACACCGTGCCTTTTGGGTAGCTCAGTTGCACAGGCACAGGAGGGCCACGAAGGCTTCAAAACACTGCGCATCGTTCCACGCGGTTTGCACGCTGCACTTATAAAGCAGTGACAACAAGGCACAACATGATAGGGATAATGGTCCTGGTTATAAGGAACAAATTTGTGGTGCAGTTTGGCCTTACAACTTGTTGCACCAAATGCCTCGTTTCCACTTCAGATAATCCAGATACAGTTGCGGCCGAATGCAAGCCAGCTTGTTTTGTTTGGGGCATGGTTGTTGACAAAATTCGCATTGCAAGTTTTCCTGGAAAGAAGAATGCGCTAGCAGTGCTGGCTTTGACTACGCGTTTAACCTCTTTTGGATTGGGACCGTTTGGACCCAGACCGGATGAGCTGGATGCACTATGCGAGGTTTTCTAGACCTGTCAGCGGCGCTCTTTCGGCGTCTTCTGAAAAACCCAAGGTAAACACTGCTATATGTATCTCACACGACAACCGTGAGTTGCCGGAGCTTCTGTTTCAACAGCTCTCGCGAGTTGGTGTGGAATCTGCCGCATGACCCTATGACCGTTGCACATGCTGATGCAATTCAAAACGCTTCTGCATGCACCTGCAACAACACGTCATGGCAACCAGGCTAAGCCACACACCTAAAAAGCCGAAACAGTTGAAGAGAGTAAGGGGCCGGTGGCTCGTTCCAAGTTTAAGGCCCGTAATTCGATACCAATCATAGAATTTGGCTCTAGCCACACATCTTGATGATGTTGCGATGGCTGCCAGTAGTGCCAGCAGCGGCGCCCAGGGCCAGGAAGGGGAAAGGAGAACCGAAGGAGAAGAGCAATGGAAAAAACACGCGAGCGAAAGCAGAGGGAAGATGGAAAAGGCGGGAAGATGGAAAAGTGGCGGGGGAAGATGGAAAAGTGGTAAAAGATGGACAAAGAAAAGAAGGAGGTGTGGCAGAAGGAGGGAGTTTGGGGCAGGAAAGCAGCGGGAAGGTGGAAAAAGGAGAAAACGGCAAGGACGTGGGGGAGGAAGAAGGAATGCTCGGAAGAAGAAAAGGCAGGGTAGAGAAGGGGGCAAGTCAGGACAAGTCGGTCGGGAAGGGGGTGGGCCGGCGGCCCGGGAAAGGGGGGGAGCTAAAGATGGAGAACGCGAAGAAGGAAGTGGGGAGGGGGGAAAGCAGCGGTGGAAAAAGGATGAAAGGGAAGGAAGAACCCTTGCAGGGCAGGGCCGGCCTGGGGGAGGAGGGGGCAGCCCGGGCGGTGGGGGGGTCATGGGGTGCAGGGGCAGACAAAATCAGCAACAAATTGCGGGGAGGGAAGGTGGGAAATTGTGAAAATCACGGGTGGCAGGACGGAAGCCGGGCAAGGGGGTCGAAAACAGGCGCTAAAAGCGGGATGCCAGAAACCATTCCACGCCAGTCCAATGGCACCGCGGCAGTTTGGAGAACGGCCGTTCCCAGGCTGCGATGTGATGACATGTGCTGAATAAGCAACTGCAGCTGCAGCGGAAACGTGTGAGCGCAGCAAAATTGCAGCATATGCAGTGTGTCCTTGGTTTTGCTGACATGCTTGTCGGAGATGCTCATTTATGGGGGTCGAAAACAGGCGCTGAAAGCGGGATGCCAGAAACCGGTGCAGCCAAGCCGGCCCTGCCCTGCCTTCCAAACGTTCTTCCTTTCCTTTCTGCTTCTTCTCTTTCTCCATCTTTTGCCACTTTTCCATCTTCCCGCTGCTTTCCATCTCCCACCCTTCCTTCTTGTCCTTCGCTCGCGTGTTTTTTCCATTGCTTAGTTCCCGGCCCACTTCTCTTGACTTGCTTTTTGTTCTAACCTGTCCTTTCTTCTTCCGAGCATTCCTTCTTCCTCTTCCACGTTCTTGGCTTTTCTTCTTTTTCCACCTGTCCGCTGCTTTCCGACCCCAAGCTCCCTCCTTCTCATTCCTCCTTTTCCTTCTGCCCCACTTCCTTTTTTTCTTTGTTCATTTATTCCCCTTTCCCTCTTCCCCCACTACTCTTCCATCTTCCCGCCTTTTCCATCTTCCCGCTGCTCCTTGCCCTCCCGCCCCCCGCCCCCCCCTGCCCGCCCCCCCCCTCCCCCCCGCCCGGATCAGCCCCCTTCCATCCCCAACCGACTTCTGATTCTCTTGACTTGCCCTTCCCTACCCTGCCCTTTCGTCTTCCAAGCGTTTTTCTTCCTCCCCCACGTCCTTGCCCTTTTCTCCTTTTTCCACCTTCCCGCTGCTTTCCTGCCCCAGCTCCCTCCTTCCCCTTGCTCCCCTTCCTTCTGCCGCACGGCCCGGGAGGCCAGGGAAAGGGGGGAGCAAAAGATGGAGAAAGAGAAGAAGGAAGTGGGGCAGAGGGGAAGGAGGGGGGAAAGCAGTGGTGTGGAAGGAGGAAAGGGAAGGAAGAACGCTTGGGAATGGGGATAGGGCCGGCTTTGGGGGGGGCCAGCCGGGGGGCGGCATTGAGGGGGAGAGGGGGGGCGAAGGTTGGAAATTGTGCAGGCGCAAAAAACGGGTGGAAGTTTGCATTCGGGGTGCAGGGAGGAGGATTATAGGTGGAGGGTTACTCAGTATTAGCCATCAAAACGCCAGAGGCCTTTGGCCTCGGCGGATACCCTTGTCGCGCCATGGGTTTCTAACGGACGTTGTGTCGTGGTGCATGCGAACATGAATGCTCTGGCATGCTCTGGCCATTGGCGCACATTGGTCACGCGGACGTTATCATACGTTATCATTGCGCGGACATGGAGGCCCTAGCCATTCACAGGCACTGCTCACAGAAAGGTTATTTCAGAGCTAGCACAGACCATTAAAAATTTGGCGCTTAAATCTGATTGGGTGTGCAGTCGTGCGGAATGGCCCGGAACCTTCTGGCCCGTCTCGCTGTCTAATGAAGCTCAGTCGACGCAGACGCTTCCTTCTGTGACGGCATCGAGGGGGATCTCGGCTTCACAGTTCGGCGTCTGGGGGTTAGTCGGCTTCGCAATTTGGCGTCACAGGGTAGTTCGGCTTCACAATTCGGCGTCAGGGGGTAATTCGGCTTCACAATTCGGCATCAGGGGGTAATTCGGCTTTGCAATTCGGCATCGCGGGGCAACTCGGCTTCACAATTCGGCGTCAAGGGGTGATCCGGCTTCACAATTCGGCGTCAGGGGGTAATTCGGCTTCGTGCCGTAATTCGGCATCAGGGGGCAATTCGGCGTCACTCCGCAACCCGGCGTCAGACGAGGCGGCGTCACAATGCGGCGTCACCAACTGTGAAAATCACGGGTGGCAGGACGGAAGCCGGGCAAGGGGGTCGAAAACAGGCGCTAAAAGCGGGTGGAAGTTTGCATGTCACTTGCAGCAAACAATTAGGTGGAGGGTTAATGTTAGAGTTAGAGTGGTGTTTATAAATCGGGTGACAATTAAAAAATTCCCGGGGCCGGAATTTCCGGGCGGAAGAGGAGTTTAAAGGGCGGAGCCCAAATGCCCCAAACAACTTATCATAGATGGGAGGTTACATTTATAAAAGAGGTGACAATTAAAATATTCAGGGCCCCAAATCACCAAAAAAATTAGGATCCAGGTTGAGTAATTAATCAATTGCCTCAGAGGAAAACCAGCCAGCAGAGTGCAGATCGGCACAGACGACACTGAACTACTAGCTCGCAGAGTGCAGTTCCAGACTGTTTCACTCCACCCCTCGGCAGATCCAATGGCATCCAGAGAGCTGTGAAACAGAAGAATTCAGGCTGCCTTTGGTGGCAGACCCAGCTCCAGACGCAGTTTGTTCAGCAAATACCGCTCCAGCTTCGCAGGATCACAGTCCAAACATCCACTTTGCCAGTGGCATCTGGAACAGACGCCCAGGCCTGTCAGACGGACATGCTCGATGCGAGATTTGTCCTCTTCAGACAGATCACAGGCGTCAGGCTCCTTGTTCAGAGTGAGGAGCTGCTTGGCCAGATTCCTGAGCTTCAGGCCTGTGGCAGAGGCCTCTGCAGACTTTGCTGCCAGTTTTTCAGAGCGGAGGCGGTTGCTCTTCAGAACCTTGTCCAGAGACTTCTCCTTGTCCAGAAGCTCTTTGGAGAGCTTGGCCTGCTCTCCAGACAGCTGGATTAGCCAGGCCTTCAGCTCAGACATGAGCTCCAGAACCAGCTTGTGGCGAGAGCCACGAGCACAGGGTCCTTCCAGACAGAGAGGGGACAGGATCCAGAGCATGTTGGCCAGAACCCAGAACCCGCATTCGTCAGACTTCTGGGTGCCAGAAGAGCTTCGCTCCGGCAGAGTCTCTCCAGGCAGCAGCAGAGACAGAAGCCTGGCAGCGTTCACAGAGCACTCCTCGTGCTTCTCAGAGAGGCTGTCCAGGTACTTCACAGAGAAGTTCTCCGAGAGGTCTTCTCGCTGCAGGACCAGAAGGGTCCAGTGGTTCGGAGAGTGCCCCCAGACAGGCACGAACAGCAGCTTGTTCTCAGAACGAAGTTTGTCCAGAGCAGTCTGCAGAAGCTCGGGGCGGTCGTGGTCTTCGGCGAGGAGCTGCCCAGAGAGCTTCGGGTCCACCATGCAGATCTTGTTGTCCAGGAACCAGTTCTCGTCGGAGTCGCTCAGATTGTACCGCAGAAGTTCCCAGCCGTACCGAAGATGCTGGTCCAGAAGCATCTGCGGGTAAGACTTCTTGAACTTGAGCAACTCCAGAGGCTCCGCAGCGAAGAACCCACCAGAAGCCTCCAAAAAGAGGGCTGAGCCACCGCAAGCTCGCAGAACACTCTGCTTCAGATCCCTCTTCAGGCCCAGATTCTTCCACTTCTTCGGAGTCTTCCAGAGTGGATCAACCTCGCAGACCTCCTGGTCAGAGACGATCACGGTGGCACAGGCATCTCCAACACCTCAGCAGACTGCAAAGAACATCTTTGTATTAATTAAATACTGCAGACAGATAAGTGCGATTTAGCGGCCAACCAGAGACAACTTGTTCGTCAAAAGGTTGTGCAGCGTGCACTTGCCAGACTTGCCACAGGTGTGGTCCTCTCGCAGAATCCTGCAGACTCGGCCGTAGAGAGGGCCCTTCGTGGCCTCCTTCAGCTCAGAGGCCTTCTCAGAGACGGGGTCAGCAAGAGCAGGGCCAGGCACCAAAGCAGAGTCGCCGGAGGGCTTGTCGTCCAGAGCCTTGGCTTTCGCCAGAGCCTTGGCAGCGTGGGCCAGGGCCGTCTTTTTCTTCTGCTTCAAAGCGGCCTTCTTCGTCACAGAGGCTTTCTTGTCAGAAGCTCTCGGCACCAGACGTTGCAAAGCTTGCTGTCGGGACATCTGTGTCAGACGATGCCTCATGGCTTCCAGAAGCTTTCCTCGAAGCTTCCGCTTGGCCAGTGCGATCATCTGCTTCACGTCTCGCTTGACAGCTTTCTTCTGCAGAAGCTCAGAGTCCGAAGAGAGCTGCTTGTGCCAGGCTGCCCGTTGCAGGTCCAGAGAAAGCGTGAGGACGCCAGACTCGATGCAGGGGAGCTGCAGGTCCAGTGGCATCTCGTGCACGTTCAGCAGAGCCTCGGAGACCTGGCTTTCCAGAGCCTCGTCCTGCGACTCAGAGTGGTGGTAGCTCCACTCCACCAGATCCGCGACGACCTTGGCGCCGTGCAGAGCAGACCAGTCTGGCTTCACTGGAATGCCAGATGAATCCCTCCCGGAGTAGCGGTCCTGCAACCAGGCTGGCTTCGTCCTCGCAGAACCTCGGCTGGCAACAATGAGAGAACAAACAAAGATTCATTTGAAGCTAAACACAGAAAGGAGAGCAGAGCGGCCCATGGAGGCGCCGCAGCAGTCTTCGTCTGTCACAGGAACCAGAGCCTGCTTGGAGAAGTCGGGTCTGTAGGCAAGCAGACCGTTGCGGCGAAGGCCAGAGACGATCCAGTCCTTCTCGGCTTGTCGCTCAGACATCTTGGTCTGAGCCATGTCCAGATGGCTCGCTCTCCAGAACTCCTTCTCGCCAGCTGCCAGCAGAGCAGTCTGACTGGCATGCCTGCAGGCACGGGAGGAAAGTCCAAAACATGATTAGGGTTTAGGAGAGTGGAAAGAAAACATCTGGCAAGGGAAGCAGAACAGGAATAATGGCACTTCCAGCCTCAGGTCGTCCATGGCAGACCTTGCCAGACTCTTGAAAGATCTGGCGTAGTCTGTGTCAGTCAGTTGCAGACTTGCAGTCAGCTTCGGTCCAATGACCGTCTGCAGACTCTGCGAGTAGAACAGAGACTCTGCCCCAGACACAGACCAGGCCGCAGCGAAGCAGTCGCGGACGTGGACAGAGGCAGGTGCCAGAGCTGCCAGCTCCTCCTGAGCCCAGGCGAAGATGATGCCATCAACGTTCGCAGAGGGCTGGCTCATCAGAGAGATCTGCCGGAACAGAGAGGGATCCTTGTCGCGAGCTTGCCGCCAGCCTTTCAGCAGATTCCCTGCAGAGGCTCCAGCTTTGCGGCAGACCACCTTGCCAGAGAACTCAAACGTCTCGTCTCTCAGAAATCGACCACACCTGTCGATGTTGTTCAGACGAGCGTGAGAGCCGTGCACCACCAGAAGACCGGGCAGAACGGTGCCAGTGAGTGCAGAGGGGTCTTTGCAGAGGCCGTACAGAGCCTGCTTCGCCTCGTAGGTCACACGGTACCTCAGAGCGTCCACGTCCAGAAAGGCCTTCTTCTGCCTCTGACCAGAGCCTCGACCAGCTGCCGCAGACGGCTTCACAGCCTGCAGCAGAGGTGGAACCAGATCGCCAGAGCCTGTCACCTGGTCAGAACTGGACAGATGATGGTTCTTCAGACTCTCTCGCAGATGCTGCTGGGGCAGAGGGTTGTGCTCCCAGTCAGCAAAGAGTTCCCGCTCGCTGCCAGACTTTATCCACAAAGGGATTTGGTCGGAGCAGATCACGACCAGATCAGAGACGTGGTCTCTGAACTCAGAGGGCTTGGCAACCCTGTTGCCCAGCTCCTCCAGAGGTGAGAAGCAGGCTGTCCAGAGAGTGCGGTCCAGAGCCTGGTACGTCAGCTTCGCGGAGACCTGTTCCTCAGACTCAGACAGCTTCGTCTTCAGATCCGGCTGCAGATTCTTGGCATCGACGTCCAGCAGAAGCTGCCTCAGACGGTTCTTGCCAGAATCCTTCGCAGCACTTTGCAGCTGCTTCTCGCCTTCGCAGATCTTCTGGTCCAGACGTGCCCTTTCGAAGGCGTCTGCACAGGCCTCCTTCGTGGATCTGAGCCTCAGAAGTTCTCTTGTCAGAAGAAACTGCCACTGCGACAGCAGATGCCGCTTCTTGACAGAGTGGCCGTGGGCACGAGACTCCTCGAACCAGCTTCGCAGAGCCTTCTTCACAGAAGCAAACTCAGGCTTGCGGCCAGCTCCGCTCAGACGCAGGCCTCTGCCAGCCCTGCGGTGAGTAGCCTTCGGACGGCCCTTTGGCCACTGCGGTTCTTCTCAGGGTTCCGAGCAAAGTTCCGCTCAGACTGCTCCTTCAGAACCTTGTCTCTTCTGGCCCAGAGCTTCCTCACAGACTTCTTGTCCAAACCCAGTTGCCGGCTCATGGCTCCAGTGAAGTCGTTGTCAGAAGCAAAACCAGACACTTGCACTGCCAGAGGCATCTCTGCAGAGCGCTTCTTCGAAGGAGCTCCAGGAAGCTTCTTTGGCCTACCAGCGTTCTTCTTGTTCGCGTAGCGTCGCTGAAGTTCCAGACGAGCTTCTTCGCCAGTCTGTTCTACAACAGACTCTCGAGCCACTTCTGCCAGAATTTGCTTCATGGCAGCGGACAGTGGCCTGCCCTTGGGCTGAGCTTCCTTCTCCAGAGGAGGCTTCTGTGCTAGAGGGTGTTCGGGCTTCCAGAAGTGCAGCAGTCTCTTCTGCTTTCCAGAACCTGCTGCGGTTGACTAAAGAAACAAGACCGCTTGTTACTTGCATGAAAACAGATCAGGAAATATCTATAATTATGTCAACTGGCAAAGACTTGATGCTAGTAAAAAGACAGAGGCTGTGGTATTCGAGAGCTGCAGGCTTTGGCAAGAAGCCAGGGATTCCGGATTCCAGGAACTGCAGCAGCTAAACTTGAGGCCGGTTCCTTATTCCAAGTCTATATAAACGGAGCCATTTCACAAAGCCGGCAAGGGTAACCCTTTGCAGCCCTTCTTTTGGCAATTATAAAAGGGGTGGCAATAATAAACTCATCCGGGGGAGGGGCTCCCGATGGGAAGCCTTGCTTTTGGGAAAGCTATGAAGCCCGTGGCTTTGGACAAGAAGCCACAGGCTTTGGTATTCGAGAGCTGCTGGCTTTGGCAGGAAGCCAGGGACTCCCAATTCCAGGAACTGCAGCAGCTAAACTTGAGGCCGGTTCCTTATTCCAATTCTATATAAACGGAGCCATTTCACAAAGCCGGCAAGGGTAACCCTTTGCAGCCCTTCTTTTGGCAATTATAAAAGGGGTGGCAATAATAAACTCATCCGGGGGAGGGGCTCCCGATGGGAAGCCTTGCTTTTGGGAAAGCTATGAAGCCAGTGGCTTTGGACAAGAAGCCACAGGCTTTGGTATTCGAGAGCTGCTGGCTTTGGCAAGAAGCCAGGGACTCCCAATTCCAGGAACTGCAGCAGCTAAACTTGAGGTCGGTTCCTTATTCCAATTCTATATAAACGGAGCCATTTCACAAAGCCGGCAAGGGTAACCCTTTGCAGCCCTTCTTTTGGCAATTATAAAAGGGGTGGCAATAATAAACTCATCCGGGGGAGGGGCTCCCGATGGCAAGCCTTGCTTTTGGGAAAGCTTTATGTCGTCCGCTCTCTATCTCCTCCTATGACTTGGGGATATCAATAAAACGTAGAAAAAACGCAAATATAAACGCACGAAAAAGGTAACAGCAAAGGCACAACGCACAAACAAACGTAGAAAAAAACAGCACAAAACGTAACCCCACGCGAAAAATGCACAAACAAACGTACATAAAACGTAAAGAAAACGTGACGTCACGCAAAGAAACCAGACAAAACACACACAAAAAACTTAGAAAACACATGACCGTATGCAAACAAGCCCACGAACAAACGCGCAAGGAAAGTCACGTTGAAACAGGCAACGGACTACCGCAGACGCACTCAGAAACATACAACCAATGCATAAGCAGGAAACGGACACGTAGACAAATGGCAGTTGCAAACACAGATCCCCGACAAGAAACGCCTTTACAAAGCAGGACCGTCGGACAAGAATGGCATTCTATGCACGTAGATTTCGGAGCGGTTCCAGCCCGGTGCGTATTGGTGCGCGTTTTTTCGGCGAGTCGGTCACGTTTTTTCCGCGAGGGGTTCCGGACGCTGGCTTTTCGGTCACGTTTTTCGTGCGTTTTCCAGCAGCTTGATTTCAGCTTTTGTTCTCCTTTTTTGCAGCTTTTTGCCAGCTTTTTGGCGAGTTTGAAAACACGTTTCTGGGCCCCTCCTTATTCACGTTTTTTGGCGTTTTCCTAAGGAAAACGCAAAAAAAACGTGGAAAAAAGCTGGAAAAAAGGTACCTTATAGACGTGGACAAAAGCTGGAAAAAGTTAGAAAAAACGTAAAGCCAAAGGAAAAAACCTACGAAAAACCTAGAAAAAACGTGAAAAAACTGCAGAAAAGGTGACAAAAAACGTGCCCGAAACGTACCTTCCGGAGCCACGCCGGAATCTCTCCTGGAAAAAACGTGCCCAAAACGCGCCCAGCCGCAACCCACCCACCCACCCCACCCCACCCTACCCCAGCCAAGCGGGCTCCTTGGCCCGCCCCACGATCTACTTTACTACATGATTTTGCTGTCTAGGTCTTGTTTAACATACTTTCACATCGTTGCGCTTGGTTACAAGTTTGTTGATGCTGCGTAGGTTTTTCCTTGTCTTTTTTCATGTTCATTTTGTCTTTTTGTCAAGTTTTTTTGGCGATCGATTTCACGTTTTTGTATGCTGCGTACGTTTTTTGTGTCTTTTTATCACGTTTAATTCTGCCTTTTTTTTACGTTTGTTTTTGTGGCGTAGCTTTTTTGTCTTTATCTTTGGGTTATTTTTGCGTTTTTTGCAAGTTTTTTCTACGTTCACTTTTGCGTTCTTTTAGGTCGACGACTTTCCTTTCACGTTGTTTCTACGTTTTATAGATGTTAGAGACCTCATAGGAATAGATACAGAGGCCGACATAAGGAAAGCTATGAAGCCAGTGGCTTTGGACAAGAAGCCACAAGCTTTGGTATTCGAGAGCTGCTGGCTTTGGTAAGAAGCCAGGGACTCCCAATTCCAGGAACTGCAGCAGCTAAACTTGAGGCCGGTTCCTTATTCCAAGTCTATATAAACGGAGCCATTTCACAAAGCCGGCAAGGGTAACCCTTTGCAGCCCTTCTTTTGGCAATTATAAAAGGGGTGGCAATAATAAACTCATCCGGGGGAGGGGCTCCCGATGGCAAGCCTTGCTTTTGGGAAAGCTATGAAGCCAGTGGCTTTGGACAAGAAGCCAGAGGCTTTGGTATTCGAGAGCTGCTGGCTTTGGTAAGAAGCCAGGGACTCCGGATTCCAGGAACTGCAGCAGCTAAACTTGAGGTCGGTTCCTTATTCCAATTCTATATAAACGGAGCCATTTCACAAAGCCGGCAAGGGTAACCCTTTGCAGCCCTTCTTTTGGCAATTATAAAAGGGGTGGCAATAATAAACTCATCCGGGGGAGGGGCTCCCGATGGGAAGCCTTGCTTTTGGGAAAGCTATGAAGCCAGTGGCTTTGGACAAGAAGCCACAGGCTTTGGTATTCGAGAGCTGCTGGCTTTGGCAAGAAGCCAGGGACTCCGGATTCCAGGAACTGTAGCAGCTAAATTTCAGAACGAATTAAATAATCAGTCTTTGCCAGAAGCAACATGGAATGACAGAAGCAGCTCGCCTGAAGAAGGCTGTGAGGTAGAACTCTCTGCAGTCGCCAGAGCTTGCTCCGACAAGCTTCCTTCAGAAGCTGCCACAAGCTGCTCAGACACGTCCTCGCTGGACACCAGAGCAGCATAAGAAGCGGCCACACCACCGCCGCCATCTTCCTCATCAGAGGAGATCGCCACAGACATTGCTGGGCAGATCTACTACAAAATGGCATGCCTGCAGATGCATGGACAATCAGAAAGCTTCTTCCTAGGCTCTTCTCAGACAATGCAGGCAAAGCAGAACCTTGCAGAACAGATGCTAGGAATGTTTTCACTCTTCACTGCGAAGCAGATCATCACTCCAGATCTCGGGAAGACCTGGGAGCAGGCGACAAATTCAGAATCTCCCAGACCTCGGCACCTTCGCCAGAGGCTTCGGCAGCAGATTCGCCGTTGGGATCAGAGGTTTCCTCCTCAGAGAACCCTAGATCCCCCAGATCTCGCTCTGTCAGAGCATGTCCTTGTGGAGGGTTCTTCCAGCAAAGCCAGAGATGATCTCCAACAGACAGATCCCGTCGCCTCACCAGCCAGCCATTCAGAGTCCAGCGCAGACTGACGGCACCGTTCCAGGTGAGGCTGATCTGCTCACCAGATGCCAAGCAGAAGAACAGATCCGCTCGATCCAGGCCGAGGAACAGACCAAGCAAGGTCAGAATCTCCGGCTGCTTTCGCAGAAAGGCTTTGCCCAGAGCACAGACCGCCACGTAGGCAGAGACCACCGCAGAGGACACCATGTCAGTGTTCAGAGGAGCTACAGAACTGACACAGAGCTCGATCCAATCGGGAATCAGAGAGAACAAGAAGCTCGGCTGCAACCGGTGCTTGCAGAGCAACAACACTTCCAGAACGTGTGCAATGCGAGGTCTGACTCTTTTTCAAAAACTCCTGCGAGATCTGTTCTGCGGCTCACTTCAGAGCCTTCAAAACCTCAGAGGCTTTGCGAAGATACTCCTTCTGTTCAGAACTCAGAGTATCCCAGAGATGCAGGAAACAATCCGGTGCATACAGAGATGCCTCCTCGGACGGAGGCACAGTCTCCTCAGAGGCTTCAGACAGAGCTTTCAGTCGCTGCAGCGGCTCAGGCACGGCAGGTGCCAGATCGTCGTTGGGGTCTTGCTTCAGAGACGGCTTCTTGACTAGAGCGGAGGCAGACGGCTTCTTGAGCACCCCAGACTTGCCCATCTTGCCGAAGAGAAGCGACCAGAGAGCTTGAGCAGAAGTTACTCAAGTACTTACATGTTGCAATCAGACAGCGGCTGCTTCTAGAAAGAGAGAAACCAAGACAGACACAGTGCGTCCAGATTTTCCTTCCTCTGCGACAGAGGTTCCTCTCGTCTGCAAAAAAACACAGAGCCTGCGACCAGAGCTTCCAGAGCTTTGTACGAAAAACCAGAACCCTTAATTACCTAATTAGATATAGAAACCCTTATGAATTAAAACAGTTGTTCATCCCTAAGTCATAAAAACCCAAAACCTAAGTGGGAGGTTTAAGTTTTAAGGTTGAGGGCTTAATTAAGGGGGCACAAGGGTTTAGGGTTTAGGGTTTAGTGGGTTGTTCGGGGTGGTGGGTAACCAGAAAAGCTCCAGAGCTCTGGCACCAGAGGTCTCCGCACGTCTGCTCAGATCGGTTCCTGCCCAGAGCCAAATATTTAACTAATTAATTAATTGTTATCGTGTTTGTAATTAGTGCTAGTGGTGGTGTTGGTTGCGCTGGTGGTGCTGGTGGTGGTTGCGGTGGTGGTGCTGGTGGTGGTGGCGGCGGTGGTGCTGGTGCTGGTGGAAATGGTGCTGCTGCTGCTGCTGCTGTTGCTGCTGTTGCTGATGGGTCTAATTAATTAGTGGTGGTGGTGGTGGTGGTGGTGGTGGTGGTGGTGGTGGTGGTGGTGGTGGTGGTGGTGGTGGTGGTGGTGGTGGTGGTGGTGGTGGTGGTGGTGGTGGTGGTGGTGGTGGTGGTGGTGGTGGTGGTGGTGGTGGTGGTGGTGGTGGTGGTGGTGGTGGTGGTGGTGGTGGTGGTGGTGCTGCTGGTGGTGGTGGTGCCGGTGCTGGTGCTGGTGCTGGTGCTGGTGCTGGTGCTGGTGGTGCTGGTGGTGGTGGTGGTGGTGACCCCAAACCCTGAACCCTAAACCCCGAACTCTGAAACCCTTAATTAACCCCAAACCCTCAAACCCCGAACCCTCAAACCCTTAACCCCAGACTCTGAAACCTTGAACCCCAAACCCTGAAACCCTTAACCCCAAACTCTGAAACCCTTAACCCCAAACCCTGAACCCTAATTAAACCCCAAACTCTGAAACCCTTAACCCCAAACCCTGAAACCTTTAACCCCAGACTCTGAAACCCTTAACCCCAAACCCCCTTAACCCCTCTGAAACCCTTAACCGAACCCTAAACCCCAAACTCTGAAACCCTTAACCCCAAACCCTGAAACCTTTAACCCCAGACTCTGAAACCCTTAACCCCGAACCCTGAACCCTAAATCCCAAACCCTGAAACCCTGAACCCCAAACCCTGACCCCTCCTTGCCAGATACATCCAGATCGTTCCAGATCTGCAGCAGATCCTGGGCTTCCAAAACCCTAATTAGACTGGGGGTGCACCAGAGGGCGGTTCAGATCTGGCCTCAGCCAGATGACCGGATACACCAGCCAAGCCAGAATCTGCGCCAGAAGCTCCTGCCAGCAGGAAAAGCACCAGAAGCCTAATCAACCAGTTCAACCCGAGCGGACCTCAGACTCCAGAGCCCTTCACACCAGCCACCGGCACCAGATTTGGCCAGAGCCTGGGCAGAGGCCACCGAAAGCAGCTAATTATGGAAACTGCAGAGGATACACATCAGATAAGGCACGGCTTCATGTAGTCAGAGGGGAAGTAGACCTGACAGTGGAAATTTAATAATTAATCATTAAAAAGTCAGTATCCAGATAATCAAGTCCCAGCCTTCAGACACACACCTCTTCCCACGACGGTCCCATCTGCCGAGAATGGTAGTACAAGCAGAGGTCCCGCAGATACACTTGGTGCTGTTTCTGGTCCGCCATAACTTGGATGGCAGATAAGCAATGGTCACAGACATGTCAAATGCCAGATACACAAGTGCTTCAGAACAGGTTATTGCAGGCAAGCGGCAGGAAGTGACCCAGAGTGCCCAATTCCCGACAGAGTCCAGACGGTACTCGCAGAACTCTTTCGCTTTGAAGCAGTCGCAGCTGGCAGGGCAGACAGAGAGTGCAGACCAGGGCAGACAGAGAATGCAACTGAAACAGGAATGTGCAACCCAGAAGCTGCTCCCAGAGGAACTTCACATTCCCATTGATTCTCAGAATGCTTTGCTCGTCCAGACCCTCCTGCAGAGCATCGAAATATGTACTTAAGCCAGAAACCCAGACTCGAGAACAAAGCATCCTGCACGATCAGATAGAGCATCTCGTTGACACAGCAGAGGATGCTGAGCCAACCTCGGATGGGATTAAGGTTATATCAGAGGTAATTAATTAGGGCTTAATTACAAACAAGTCACAGATGCAGGGCCAGAGTGCCAGACAGCCCTTCGGCTCCGACAGAAACCTCTCGAGTTCTCCACGAACTCGAGAGGTCAGCACAGAGCGTCTGCTGTTGCCAGCCTCAGCTTTCAGCCAGAAAAGCAAACAAAACCAGACAAAAAACATTGGGAACCAGGGCGCACTGTGCCATCCGCGGCAGATCTGGCATTCGTGCGACAGAGTCCTTGGTTTGCCAGGCAGAACATCCGAATACTTCCAGAACTCCCGATCCAGACGAGGAGCAGCACTCTGTCAGAGATCCGACGACCAGAGGCTTCCTGGGATTGGAAGGTCTTCATGGCCGCCAGAAAAGAATCCTGCAGAGTGGCCTGGGATCGCAGATAAACTCAAAATTCCAAAACCCAGACTCTCTCTGCAGAAATGCAAGACAAGTGTCAGCAGAAAGCACGCCAGATGCTGCCTCAGATGCGACTAGAGGTCACAACCATAACCCCAAACCCAGACCCTTTCTCGCAGATAATAGCCAAGTCTCGCCAGGGTTGGCCGGTCCAGAGGGTGCCTCAGATAAGAGCAGAAGTCACACCCAGAACCCCAAACCCCAGACCCTTTCTTGCAGATAATAACAGCCAAGTCTCGCCAGGGTTGGGCAGGATTCCAGAGGGTGCCTCAGATAAGAGCAGAAGTCACACCCAGAACCCCAAGCCCCAGACCCTTTCTTGCAGATAATAGCCAAGTCTCGCCAGAGCTGGGCGGGAATGCAGATGGTGCCTCAGATAAGAGCAGAAGCCACAACCAGAACCCCAAACCCTTGTCGCAGGTAACAGCCAAGTCTCGCCAGGGGCCGGTCCAGATGGTGCCTCAGATAAGAGCAGAAAAGTCACACCCAGAACCCCAAACACAGACCCTTTGTCGCAGATAACAGCCAAGTCTCGCCAGGGTTCGACGGTCCAGATGGTGCCTCAGATAAGAGCAGAAGTCACACCCAGAACCCCAAAACACAGACCCTTCCTTGCAGATAATAGCCAAGTCTCGCCAGACAAAGCAGGGGTTCCAGATGCCGGTCCAGAGGGTGCCTCAGATAAGAGCAGAAGTCACACCCAGAACCCCAAACCCCAGACCCTTTCTTGCAGATAATAGCCAAGTCTCGCCAGACTCCGCAGGGGCTCCAGCCCTGGTCTCTTCAGACTCCTGTTCAGATACTTCCCAGAAACCCAGGCTCAAAGAAACAGTTCCAGAAGCCTCCCCAGCGCCGTTCGCCAGAGTCATGTCCACATCAGCGGCAGCCATGGCCTCAGATAGTACGTGGATACTTATTTGTACAGAACCCTAGGCCGGCCAGACTCCTTGCTTCAGTCCAGTGGCGTCAGAGGAAGTTCAGAAGGAAAGCAGAAAGGCAGAGGGCACAGAAGCCAGAATGCCAGAGGTTGAGACTTCACGTACTACTAATTACTATTACTACTATAACTACTATAACTACTATAATTGACTACTATTACTACTATTACTACTATTACCACTATTACTACTATTACTACTATTACTACTATTACTACTATTACTACTATTACTACTATTACTACTATTACTACTATTACTACTATTACTACTATTACTACTATTACTACTATTATTACTAATTACTATTACTACTAGTATACTAGGCCCAGAGCAGGCCAGAGGTTTACTATTGCCACCCTGACCCCAGACCCTGCCCCAAGAGACCCCCGCGCAAAACAACCTCAGGGGGGGGGGGGGGGTTATTAAAACCACTCCAACATTACTCAGTATGTATTAACCATAAAAAACGCCAGAGGCCTTTGGCCTCGGCGGATTCTTCCCCCCATACACACAAACACACTGACACAACCAAAAACAACACAATAGAATAAAACTTCCTGCGATGGGAAAGAGAATGAGGCCCAGCCGAACACAAAGAAACGACCAGCAAACCACCCAAGACAAATATTGCAAAGTGATCGTGGGGTCTGTTTTATGTTCCAAATCGAAATTCTGCATGCACAGCATTCGGCCCTACCAATTCTTGTGTGAGTGCTACGCGGACATCTTGTTTTGTTCGCGTCCTATTCTATTTCCACCAGCCCCCGGTGCAATCGAATTCCAGACCAAAGTAACTAGTGTTGATCATGCATGCTGGAATTAAACTTCAGCGTGACTTCTTGTCCGAGCCCTGTGATACTGCGTGCGAACCACACGCCAACAACTCCTGCCACGCACAACAACTAAGTGCCTGTTTGGCAGTGTACCGGCGGGCTTCACGATTGAGTCGCGCGGTGCGTGTGTTGTCGTTTAGTGTTGTTTATTGCCATTAATTGCGACACACGGCAATATTCTGACCGTGTTGGTTGCCGTTGTCGGCTGCTGCAACTTGTTGCGGTGCATCCGTGCTCAGATGCTAAACCCCACAGCTGTGTTGGTGCCGCTGTGTACTGCAGCAGATTCTTTAGTCCTCAGCCGAGTTTTCGTCGTCATCAGCCGCAAATTGTCAGCAATGCGGAGGCCTTGATCTTTCCCGTGCTGGTGTGGCTCTCTGTCTGCGCCGCAAGAGGAGCTGGTTTGGATGTAAGCAGGGCTCACAGCTCTGCATTTCGTGGACTTGAGGGTTGCGCATGTGACATGCGACTGTGGAGGTCACTGGCTTACAGCCGGCGCACGTAAGGTGCCGTCTATGTCTCGTTGGTGCTCTCCCTTTGCGGCCTGCAGGGTACTGTAGCGGACATCGATGTGCGGAGAACTCCGTTTCTGCTGCATATAAGTTATTACGAGTAGACAGTTCACATTTCCTCAGCATGTTTATTCATTTCCTTCCCACCCTATCGAAGTTTAAACAGATTTTAGCCGCTTAGCCGATAGCTGCAAAGGGCTAAAGGACTCAGGGAGCTCACCCATGTTGCTAATCGATGAAAATCGAAGAAGATTTGCTACAGACATGACGCACGCATGCCCTGCACTGAGCACGGCCACCGCCACATGCAGCCTCAGTTCGTGCGACGCAGTCGCAACTGCAGCGCCTTGCACCAGAAGAAAATGGTAGAGCTGACAAAGGCTTGTGCAACAGCCCGAAAGTAACGTGTGACGGCTCAGAGCAAAGTTCAGGAAGTGGAGGACGGCAGATGCAAAATCGACAGTCCGGTTTCCTGGCCCTTTGCCGTGCCGCCACGGGCGCACAACGGAAGAGAACCTGCAGCTGATACGCTAGTCGCGCCTTGACATGCTGTGCGCAAGGCAGTATTTCCAGTATTCATGTCAGTGGCGAAGGAAAGAAAAACGCCTTACAAGCGACCGATGATTTCCTTGCGAGCCGCTAGCGGCGGAGCTGCCTCGGTGAGGCTTGTGGAAAGTCCCTCCCTCCCTCACTCAAATTTAATCGCTCTCTCTCTCTCTCTCTCTCTCTCTTTGTCTCTCTCTCTCTCTCTCTCTCTCTCTCTGAGCTGCTCGCAGGTACTCACGGGTCTGTATTTGTTAATATTTGTATCATTTTGTATATATGGATGCTAGGGTTTTAGATCCTGCACATACTCATGTGCACATGCACCAACTTCCAGGATCAACTGCATGCGTGTATGTGTTATGTATGCATCTAGGTGTGCATGTGTGTCGTACAACCCATGCAAGTGCCAGGATGCTCGTTGGCTCATGGAAGTGTCTTTTTCTTGTCGTGCTGTTGTCATTCCGGCTCCTGCCATGTGCTAGACGCCAATTTCAGGTACGTTTTTGCCTTGTTCGGATCGCAGAGCCGAGACATGTGCCAATCCCAGAGTGGAGATTGCAAAGCTGCGAAGCTGTAGCTGTTGGACGCAGGACCACCTTTACAGGGCAATTCTTGATTTGAGGAGCGATGGGCTGACCTGGGAGGTAGTCCGGGTTTGTGCTGGGCAGAGGAGGTCCGGCGCAGATCGCAAATGCGAGAGATCTTGAGTTCAGGACTCCATAGCAATGTTGAACCAGTGCTATGCTAGGGGAATGTGTAAGGCGAGGTCGAAGGCACTGCATGCAGTTGTGTATCTAACCTGCCATTGGTGCCTGCGACCCATAAGTTCTTTACAGTACAAGCTGGTGCATGTTGAATGTGTGAGCAGTCCAGGTGCCCTATGCCAGCAAACACTAGCTTCCTGATGAAGGCTGCTCTGAGAATCTCAAACACACGAACCCTTGTAGGATTCATAGCTGCGGCAGGTTCATCACTATGTGGTGACTTTGGCTTGCCTGCTTTCCCTCTTGGCGCCGAAGGCCAGATACGTGTACTTGGGTCTCGAACTTGCGCAGCCTAGCACAGCTTGCACAGATACTCTGTAGGAAGCAGCAGTAGCGCAGAACCTGATGATACCTGATGGCTTTGGTGCACCAAGCAAGCAAAAGCAGACCAAAAGCATTGCAACTGCCCTGGTAGAGGGAGCTCCCTATCAAGGCTCCCAGCAGCTGTCCGATTTGCTTGTTCACTCCTGCCTTTCCATCGGCACTCAAAAACAAGTCAAAGCGGCGAGAACCTCTTGAAATGCCTGGCTCGTTTCAACGATGTGCCGTGCTGCGCTTCCACGGCGCGCATTTCCGCAGCACTGTCTCAAGTTTCACTGTCAATAAGTTTGTCAGTTTGTGCCTGACACTCGAGAACTGCCACCCCAGCACAGATACCAGAACGAAACACGCGTGGCTGCTCCAAACCTACGAAGGTTGAACATCTGCTGTGTTTGCTACTGTTTAACTGTTTGTGCTGGCATGATCAGATTTTCAGAGTTACATCGGCAAAGGCTGTGGCACGGAAGCACGACCAGGATGGACACTTGGTAGATGCTTCTGCGTTCGGAGTTCTAATAGCAGCGAGACCTGCGCCGCATTTGCAATGAATGGCTGCAAAACGGCAAATGCACCCGTGGGAACTAACATGGCTGCATGCCGTGCCACGTGTCGAGACGACTGACGGGCCAGCGGGCAAATGTACTACTCACATACTTTTCAATTGGTTGCTACACGACCTGACGTGCATGCTGGACATGTTAATGCAGCATGCCGTCATAGCACAAGCCCAGTGATTTGAGACACTGCCAGCGATAAGAAATCCAACTCAAGCATGACATGTGGAGACGGAAGTGCCGAGGGGTTTGGTCTCTTCATTGCTGGCACCTTCATTCTGGACTGAAAGGGGTTCGCACTTGTGTTGCCTATTACAGGTCGGCGTCGTTTGGAAGAGAGTTTCAGACAAGCACTTGTGCAGGAGCTGGGGTCAATGTTCTACAACCTGAGAGTACTGTATCCAGGCGACCTCTGGGTGCTTGCTTGTGGTGAACCTCGTCTACTAGATACTGTTTTCAACCCTTGCAGGCCGCCGACTGATAGAAGTGGTGTACCAGGCACTGCGGACGAATTTCGTAGCCAGAGCATTTGGGCTGGGCATGCAGTATCCGTAGTGTTCAGGTAACCATGCCGGCATCAAACATTGCTGCCTTGGCTGGAGGCTTGCCTTGGACCTAGCTGCTGCTACCAGCTTTAGCTGTAGCTGATCCCTGGAACATCTCGCGCTTGTGACGAGCCGCCCTCTGTGGCATCCAAGGCTCTTCTTGAACATGCAAGAAGTTCCTTTGTGGATGAGGGTGCTCCGCCGCTTCAAACGAGCGTGCGCTTGGATTGAGATATGCGTGCAGGTTCTCTATTTCGCAGCCGATGTCGGAGTTTGTATAGGTCGCCAACGTCATGCGTTGAAGGCGCGATGCGAGGCCAAACGGCGATTCCTGATGCATCCGATCCCTGGATGCTCAGCTAGGATGCTGGCCTGATTGGACCTCGGAAGGCCGGAGACGGAGCTTGGCTGCTTAGCATGCTTAGCAGGGCTTAGCGGCTTAGCAGAGCTGACATGGCTGACTTGCCGGTGCCTCATACTGGCCTACTGCACCAACTGGTTGGCTCAAAGAAAGGGTTAGGGCTGCTCTCAAGACTCTGGAGCGTTTCCGGAATCCTGGCGGCACGACCTGTGGAGACCCATGGCCATGCACTCAGATCCGATTGGCGGACCAGGCTTGCGACTTGACGATCCTTTCAAATCTTCATCTGATCAGAAGAGAAGCCCTCAGACAGGTGCGCCTTCGCGTTCCACCTGGCACCACTCGCAAAAAAATGCAATCAGCGAGTTCCGGTTTTTGTTCGTGCTACGACACGATCCCTCGCAGCTCCCAGATATGAACCTGGGTGTAGAAGTGCCACGGGTTGCTCAAACCCGATGCGGAGATGTCCAAAACAAGAACCATGCCAACCAATCTCACAGTTACGGACTGACTTTGCGTTCGATTGCGTCCGTGTGTCGTGAACACTCGGGCCATGACAAAATTAACTTCGCTCGTTGAGGGTTTTTCGCCTCAGCCTCCTTGCTGGCAGCTCCAGCATGATATGCCAACAACTCTGTTGCAGTAGCTGCTGCATTCAGACGTCGGCAGGTCCCCACTCAAAACTATGTCTCCAACGTGTGCCGTCTTTGACAGGGACGCGCAGCTTTCCTAAGTGCTCATTGCCGTTCATTCATTGAAAGCCGCCGAGGTTCGTTGACTGACGATGACTTCTCTCACAATTCTAGCGGCTGCAATAGGTGCCACGCGAGTAGAATCTGTGCTTGTAAGCACATAGCAGGGAGGTTGCAGGCTTCACGGATCAAGAGCAAGAAGCCAAAATCCCGATGCTGCCAATCAGGCTATGAGTCAAGTGCAACAATTACTTCGGTACTGTCGCTCCGAGGGCGGATGTGGCATCCTCGAATCCCCCCGACTAGGAACATGGATGTGCCATGTTGTCCCTTTATCATGCCATAATCAGCCTGGCTTAAGCTAGCACAGCAGGAAGACTTAGATGCTGCAGAAGCATAAATAAATATCCAAAGGAGCCGGGCTCCAGTATTTGAGAACAGAGACGTTGCGAGTAGACGGCATGCGTTCAATCGGGAACGGACAGGGTCGTAGGATTCAGTTGGAGCCAGCGAGTCCTAGCACGTTCTGGGCAGGGGCAACGTTCCGAAACTTTGAAGGTGGATAGTCTGAAGTTGCGGTTGGATGCTGAAGATTTGCAGCAAGCGATTAAGGAGGCGCAAACAGGAATGTTCAACATATTCAAAGTCTCAGCTGGTGTGGATACATCTTCCGGATTAGGACGCATTCGCACATTTTCCCGGAGTGCTTGCAGTTGATAGGCCTGCCTTTCTTGCATCTGCTAGGCGCCGCCCAGCTGGCTGAAGCCAATCACTTGCTGCGAAGGGCCAGTCTCCAGAAGGTCAGCTGCGTCCAGCCGTCCAGCACCAGGCAGACCCCGCATGTTGCATGTCTTTGTGCTTGGCCTGGCCAGGCTTTGCCTCCTTGCGTTGATGATGTGGATCAAGTGGCCTGGAAGGGCCACATCTACCGCACGCTCTACGGTGCGAAAGTCGAAGGGGAAACTCCTACCAGTTGCGAAGAGACTTCGTATCAGGAGATGCCTGAGAACTACAGCATTGCTCCAGACGAGGTAAGCATCGTGTCCCACGTCATCGCTGCGCACAAGTGGGGCATCTACCGAGTTTGCCTCGAAACCGGGTGCTACGGGACGAAGCATGCCAATGGTGAAGCTGGGGAGCAGCTGAACAACGGCCAGTTTTGGGAGATGGACGCTGGTAAGTACAAAGTCAAAGAAGCTTGCGCGGGAGAAAGCTACCACCGACTTCTCTTGCGTCAACAATGTCAGGCGGGTGTCAGAAAGCCTGGCTTGAACCAATGCCGCCTACCCACCGAACCCCCTGGCGCCCAAGCCAAGCCAAGTCAGCTGTTCATGTGTCTCAGCATGCACAGGTCTAAGTCCATGTATCACTACGTGGCATCTAGAAGCAGATGCAGCCATGTAACCGCAAGTTTGTACCCCTAAAGCCAAGGCAGCACCGTTCCAAAACAACTAGAACCTAGTAATTCCCAAACCGAGCAGTCAACCTGCAGCCAAAACGTATGACATGATCCCCGCCCTCGTAAAGAGCTGTACGAATGCAGAATATCGTCTTCTACATCCTTCCGGTATCATGCCATCTGCAATGACTCATATTCAACTGATACAGTCATGTCCATGTTGCACGAGTGTGCGTGCTAGTTAAGTTGGATTGCACTTGCAAGGCATAGGAGGCTGGTCCGTGTTGTACACACAGACAGCGCTCACATACTCAACTCGCACCCACAGGCAATCAATCAACCAATCATAAGTTGAATTGAGCAAAGCGCACACACACACACAATCTCTCTCGTGTATATAGCCATATGAGACAGCGTAGCACAATTGTGAGGAAGCATAGCTCATGCAACGTAAATAAACATGCAGCAGGATGCATTGCGATTCGGAGCCCCGTTCCGTGTACGTCAGTGTACAGCCATTACATTCTTGAGCAGACAGCTTCGCAAACCGTGACAAGTCAACAGCAAGCACAACAGATAAGCATAAATGCCGACGCAGCCTCCTGCACAAGTTTGAAAATATGTGCAAACCCTGAGTCAATCCTGTAAACTACCTGCAGCAACTTCTTCAACGTATTAAAGCTTGTATGCATCTCTCTCTCTCTCTCTCACTCTCTTCTCCGTCGGTGCTGCTGACCCGATGCATAAAACATGTAGATACATGAATGCATGCATACCTACCAAGATGCGTACGCACATACCTACGTACTTACAAACGCACGTACTTCTTAGAGTATAGCTATACTTTTTATCATATTTTATATAAACTTACCGATATATTCTACAATCATACAGGGTACGCATATGTGGTAAGCATGCCGGATAAGCATATATCCACGTACACGGACCCTCGGTCTTACGGGACCTTTGTTTGCACAGGGGCTCCGCAATCGTCGCCCTCCAACTACAGCGGGAGCGCTATATAAGAACATACTTTCTCGGACCAGGGTGGTCTGGTTTTTTTATTTTGATAGCGGCTGGTTTTATGGGAATATTTAATTTGGGATGGGTCAGGATAGTCTGGTTTTCTTAAGACCGTTTTCTTATATGGCTATGTCCAGGGCCCGTTCCAGAACTCACCTAAATAAGAAAACGAGACTCTGGCATTTTCTTATTCTCCTTCGTTCCAGAACCCACCTAAATAAGAAAACGAGACTCTGGCATTTTCTTATTCTCCTTCGTTGCAGAACCCACCTAAATAAGAAAACGAGACTCTGGCATTTTCTTATTCTACTTCGTTCCAGAACCCACCTAAATAAGAAAACGAGACTCTGGCATTTTCTTATTCTCCTTCGTTCCAGAACCCACCTAAATAAGAAAACGAGACTCTGGCATTTTCTTATTCTCCTTCGTTCCAGAACCCATCTAAATAAGAAACGAGACTGTGGCATTTTCTTATTCTCCTTCGTTCCAGAGCCCAGCTAAATAAGAAAACGAGACTCTGGCATTTTCTTATTCTACTTCGTTCCAGAACCCACCTAAATAAGAAAACGAGACTCTGGCATTTTCTTATTCTCCTTCGTTCCAGAACCCACCTAAATAAGAAAACGAGACTCTGGCATTTTCTTATTCTCCTTCGTTCCAGAACCCATCTAAATAAGAAACGAGACTGTGGCATTTTCTTATTCTCCTTCGTTCCAGAAGCCACCTAAATAAGAAAACGAGACTCTGGCATTTTCTTATTCTCCTTCGTTCCAGAACCCATCTAAATAAGAAACGAGACTGTGGCATTTTCTTATTCTCCTTCGTTCCAGAGCCCAGCTAAAGACCACGAGGATGCCTACGATCCCTAAAGCCGTGCTTGGAAGCCTTGGAGGGGAAACTTCAGCAGGGTCAAGGCACGAAGTGCCTAGGACACCCCAAGTACTAGGGCCAGGATTTTAGGCAAAGGCCCCTGATGTATGGAACCCCTCATATAGCACAGGCCAAGTTTACGCGCACTAGTATGACAGAACGAAATAAGAAAATAAGACTCGCTGACGAGGGTACCCTGGTTTTCTTATTTTAACAGTGCTTGGTATTTCATGTAGAACCCTATCAATCCCAAAATCCAGAGTCTCATTTTCTTAATCCAATGTTTTCTTAAGTAGTGCTGTTGCTGTAGAGCTCCGCTGCATTGGCCAAATGCTGCATCGGAGCCGTCACGCCTAACAGGTATTGTCTTGTCATGTACGTCGCACAATTCACACGTTTGCAACACGAAGCATGCTAGAGGTGTCCAGCCTTCTGGGTGTTGCCGAATATCGCAGCCTGCAGCCAGAAGTTACACGTATAGAGTGTCGTCGGCTTTGTCCGATCAGAAGCACACGCCGTAGGAATCAGGAACTGGCGTTTTGCTCCAAGATACGAAAAGCCTGACAAGAGCACCGACCCTATTGAGCAAATGCTTGGCCACCCGAAACAGACGGTGGGATGGACTTGGGGTTGACAGCTCATCAGCAAAGATGTCTTCTATCGCACGTTTATGCCGCTCTTGCCTGCGAGGTGACGCTTGATGGCTTTAAGAAGTTCGCCTATTCCACGGGCATCGGAACCACTGCATATTCAGAGATACCGCGATTTGCCAACGAAGGCCGGGCCGTGTGATGGGTCCCATTGATGCACCCAGGGTCCCAGGGTCGCCAGCTGACAGCAAGAGTAACTCGGGTTTCTGTCCATTGAAGACTGTAACTCCGAGTTCCGTCAATCTGCTGTGACGTTCCTTTGCAGGCTCGTATTCAGAGATTCTCCAAGCAGCAAAGGATGCATGCAAGACTGATGCAGACTGCGCAGCTTTTGAGATCATGCGGGCCTTCAGTCTGGACAAAAATCCTGAATTCAGAGACTGGGGTCAAACCTGGGCTGACAAGATCGATGCTTCCGACGGTGGGTGGCTCGTATACAAGCTTCACAAGCGCGACGCCGGCTCAGACTTCAGCATGCACGATACAGAGGAGCTCGACTGGTATGCGTCGAATCGCGACGAGGTTATCTACAATTACAAGGCATTGCCCTCTAATCAGCAGCCCCTACAAAGGGCGCTGGCCTGCCATTCCTGATCTTGTCTAAGAGAGCCCAGCAGCATACATTGACATGCATGAGTTGCTCAACAAGTCTGATCAAAGTGTGATCTCCAGGCAACGCCGCTGCGTTGCAGCTGGAAGACCAACTTCACCTGTGGCTTTGGCCCGCGTATCAACATCGCAGTTTCTACAACGGCAAACTCGAAGGACTTGAGGGCGACATCGGTTTCTCGACACAAGCATGAACATATGCGTGAGCTGCAGCCTGCAGGAGGATTGCGAGGCTCACTGCCAGTCCAGCCAAGTCGCAGAGCCCGTCCGAGGATGCTGCTCCTACTCGTCCGGTCAGTGCAAATATGGCGAGGGTGCTCAACTGGACTCCACAGAGCCTGGAACAAGCTCAGCGGATTGTTGGCCGGAGGCACAGACGTTTCTCAACCTCATGCCACGTCTTAGAAAGCCTGACCTTTCAGTGATCGCCAGCACACACAGTCAGTTGAAGACTCGAGATGATTCAGACTCAGTGCAATTGTACTAAACTGCCCTTCGACATCGTAAGGTGGCATCACGATGCAACTAATTATGCATACAGAAGGCACATAAAGACTTGAAAGTAATGCCAGATGCAGAGAACATGGTGGTGGTTGCATCGCATGCCTAGCATCTCCTTGACTCTGACTCTTACGTGCCAACTTGATTTTGGCAGCGAAGCAGCGAAGCATGTCCAGTCACAGACAGATCCTTTGTGATGAGTCCGATGCAGCTTAGCGTGCTCACACTGCAGATCGTACCAACAACGACATCGACTACAACGACTACGACCACCACGACGACAACGACAACCACAACGGAGACGTCTACGACGACCACAACAACCACCTTCACAACGACAACAGTCACCACGACCAGTACATCTACAACCACAAGCACGACCACCACCACAACAACAACCTCCACGTCGACTACCACAACAACGAGCACAAGCACATCAACAACAACGACGACTACCACTACAACAAGCACAAGCACCACCACAAGCACAACCACTACGACCACCACCACGACATCTACGACAACCACTACCACTACCACCACAACCACCACGACGACTACCCCGTGGATATCTGGCATTTCGCCATCCTGCATTACGGTGAACAAGGCTTCGCTGTCAGTTCATGGCAGCTTGTCTCGCGGAATCTGGTGAGAGCTCGTGACAGGTCACTGAAATTACGTTCTATGGCGGTGATCCCGGTGACAAGGCCCCAGCCAAACTAGAAGCGGTGCTAGCTGCAGTTGCAGAAAGTCAGAAAGCACGACGTGCCAGGTGAGATTCGAGGTAGACTGCGACTCCGTTTCTGATGACAACTTCACAGTACTGTGACGTGTCCGAACGATCTAGCCGAGATTGCCTGCGTGGAAGTGCTTCTCTGCTAGGCAAGATGGACGAGAAGGAGCAACGGCCGAGTTCTCTCCCACGGAAAAGGCACGGAGCTGCAAACTGCAAGTCTCTGTCCCGTGCCGCTCCTGCGTGTCTGCTGGCAGGGAGACGGCTTTCTATTGTGCTACAAGCGCGGGCACGAAGAAGTTCATGGTGAGCATCACTTGACGTTGGATTCTTGCCAAGGCCAACAGCAAGTTGGGTAGATTAGAATCAGAAGAACTACAAGCTTACGGAAGCAGGCCGGTTTGCTATTGAATGTGTTGTCAAGTGTGCGGCCTGTGGAGACTACCCTGCTAACCGGGTTGCCGTTTGCGGCTTGGGGTGCATGACTCCAGCACCTCCCATCCAGCCGGTCTCTTGTCGCTGCAATCCGTGGACAGCAACTCTCTTTCACTGTAGAGGTTTTTAGTGCCGACGAGCGTGTCACTCGCAGCAGAGGCAGATCAGTATCAGTTATTGTTAGATTCGCCTGGCTGTCAGCCAAATGTGCGCTGAGATTCACAGCCGAGGATGTGAAGGGTCCAACTGGTACTGGCCACATCTCCTCGATAAGCCTGTGGCCCAGAGCATTTGCCAGCGATGTCCCGCAGAGAGCCTGCTTGCCAGCAGCGTTGTTCTTTGGCTCAGGTCCGACTTTGGTGAAGAAGTCCGAAGCGGCCGAAATAGCATTGGATGGTCCTGAGAAGACACAGGGCAGAGCTACTCGGCAAGCGAATCGCTCAGCTAAGACTAGAATCTTGGCAGTGGGGTCATGCCAGGAAAGCACATGATCGTGGAATTGCGAACTAGTGACTGTTGGCTCCGAAGCTTGTCTTCAGGATTTCGCAATTCGTGGGTCTATCGTCGTGGCGACATCTTTATAGATTGTCGTTCTTGCTAGCTTGCATTTCCATACATGCCTTGACTGAGGTGTGCTTCGCCCCAACCTGCGCATTATGTCCGCAGCTATATGCAACTGGTCGGCAATGAGAAAAGCCCTTCCTCGAGATGTCAAGGCCACTTCGAAAAGCGGATAAAGTGGGGTTGATAACTCGCAGGCAAAGGCAAGGCTGTCCCAAGATAACATCATACCGCCTGAGATCAATCGATTCCGTACTGACGCGCGATCCACTGGCAGGATGGCACAGAGTATCCAACAGTGGAAATTCCGGGCACAGTGAGCTTTGTGAAGGAGGCTCACTTCTTTTCGACGTTGGTAGCTGGGAAGTGCTTCCCTGCTGAAACCGGGCTGACAGGCCAACAAGCTGCACCTTGTGGCTCCTCAGAACGCTTCCCGCTTGCATCTGTTTGTTTCCTGTCGCAGATCCAGCTCTCTACTGTGCTCGACAGTCCTAGGACAGCAACGTCTACAAGGTTTGCTACCAAGAAGAAGACAGCTGTGCCACTTGGAGTGCAATGGCACGCACCGACAAGTCTTGCGAGCTTACCCGTGAGCACGAAAAAGTAAGCCATCTGCAACATTGTCCTAGGGAGTCGCAAGCATGGTTCTCCCTTTGTCGTGTCAGGAGTGGGCCGAGCAATCTGGTGGTCTCAAGATCCGTTTTGATCCACACATCAAGGCCATCGACCAAAGATGCATCGGAGCGACGCCCGTCATTGCATTGACTAAGCGTGAAGAGTATGAGATCGGCAGCATCACTGTCAGTCAACCCTTGCGCTCTTCTGCACCAGGAACAGAGATGCCACTATCAAATTTGAGGGTGCCTGGCCGGGCGATCGGGTCCAATTCGCTCCCAGCTGTGATAGTATCACGGAGCCAAAGGATTCCTGGTCTCAAGAGATCAGAATTGCGGAGAACCTGTGTAATTTTTGGTCACCACAAGAACAAGATCATGCTGGAAAGTCTAGTCATACAGCACGTGACGCTGACATTCATCCGAGGAAGAATTGCACGGTGAGAACAAGCGAGCAATGTGGTATGCAGGTCAGTCTTGCCTTGTTCTTGGTACCTGAGCTAAGCAGAGCCTTCAATAGATCGGAAGGTGAAGCCCTTGACGGTCTCAAGCTGTGCTACAAGCCAGACTCTTCAGATGCAGTTCCTTAGAGAGTCTGAAAATGTGTTTTCCTTGGTGGCTTGCGATGTCGAGGAACAGCAGCAAGCTATCACAGCCTGGCCCTGTTGAGGTTTCGGGATACAAGGCAAATGTCCAGGAGCAGGATGACATCCTGCTCTACATCAAAAAGGTCACGTTCAAAAACATCATCAAATCGCTCCTGGCAGCAATGGGATGTGTAGGACCTTGTGTCCTCTGACCGTGAAGCTTGTGTGTGTGTGTATGTGCGAAACCCTGTTAACTGTTATTAAGGGCTTGTGAAAATCAGTGCAGGGGGCACAAGCACCCAATGCAGACTCCCTTCCTTTGCTAGCAAAACGGGTCTGTATGAGGGGAGGATATCACTGAGGATGCTCGGTGATATACCTCCAGAGTAACGGCGGCGGCTGACCGCCACCCTTGCGCAGGATTAGTACAACTGATCCAGCCTTGAGCCCCGACACGCTTCGGACCCCTGGATCTCTGAACGTAGAGCTTGCGTCTGTCCAGATGCTCTGAGTACCGATTGGAGGCTGCGGATGAAGGCTCAAGGAAGTAAGAGAGAGAGAGAGAGAGTGTGTGTGTGCTTCTGTGTCTGTGTGTGTGTGTGTGCCCGAGTGTGTGTGTGTGTGTATATATATATATATATATAAAACTGCTGTAACCAAGGATTTTTCGAGAGTGCATGAATTAAAGCAGGGGGTGCAAGCAGCTCGTTCAGTCTGGCACCGACGAAGACGCTGGACAAGAGCTGGTGATATCCAACGGGACGCCGCTGGACGTACCTGCAGTTTTACAGGCATGGCAACCAGGCAAAGCAAAACATGGAGAATTGGCATAAGGAAGTGTGTAGTGAGGCTTGATGTTTTCAAAGCTCGGGTTGGAGACCTGCACATGCGTGCTCCAGACAGCTTTCGTTCAGCGTGTTGTCTGCTCCGGGATTACCCGGATGAAGGTCATGCCAATGACCAGTTAAAGTTCCCTGATCAGCTAAAGTTCCGTGATCGGAACGCCACGATCCAGTCTGAAGATTTGTCACAGTCTACACTTGAGTAAGGATCCGTCAGCAACTACTAGTAGATAGAGGCTTGTCTTTCATTGTCTCCAACCGAGTACTGCATTTTTTTTGCGACTGCATGGTTTGTGGTTCTTCTGAGTGACGTGCCTCAAAATGGGATCAACTGTAGGTACTGTAGGTGCTGTGAGAGCTGCCTAGCTGATTGAGCATGGTGCCATGTGGAGTTCGGGTTCGTGTCAGTGGTCCAGCAGCTCCGGATATCAAGGTAGCTTTGGGAAAGTTTCATGAGCTGAACAAGCATGTCAACTTCGTTGTCAAGTCGCGACCGCAAATGCTGATAAGAAGGAGATGGTGGAGGCAACTATTATGTTCGGCCTTGATCGGAAATTTGCCACTCGCTTGAGCATCACTAGTCTCAGCAAGTGCGGTGCTGTCGCTAAGTACGAAGCTGCTTGACTTGCAGTGAAAGTGGAGAGCACAGATCCTTCGCATGCGGTCGTAAGAACTGCGGTGCTGCACGACATTCGTCAGCTAGGTCAGGCCTTAACTTTTTTCAAGCATGAGTGCCTGCATCTTCTGAAACAAGCAGAAAGCTCCCTTCTCACAGAGGAGTCGATGTACACCTTGTTGCAGCAGGATTCAATGGCCAGTCCGCTGTCTTATCACCACTGGAGTTTGCCGCCCAGTAATTTGCTCAACTCTGCTTTGGGTAGAGCTGCTTGGACTAGCAACCAGGTTAAAAGATGGCAACAGGTCCCGCTCTCTGAACTTCCAGCGTGTCTGAAACACATTTTGGGCTTGCTACCCCCGGAAGTGATTTCATCAGAGAATCAGCGTCTGCGGCAGATGCAGCCTTCTGTGGTATTAACCTTTTTGTAGGGCGATGGTAGCTGCCCAGCTGCCTTACACCTCGATTTTTCGAAGCACTGCGAAAGTTTGGGCTGCCTGCGGCCGCATGGTTTGGCTAGCTCGAACCACAGCCAACACAGCCCATTACAGATGGCAACACTGTGCAGCAGATCTTACGCTAATGGGTTTTTCCACGGCGGGTCGGATGTTGCGCACCTGTTCTGAAACTGTGGGATGACATAGGTGTGCCATCTCCCAGCTCCTGATTTGTCCTCACGACACATATTTAATATTCAAGACCGACAACCTCGAGCGTTCAGTACAGGTGCTTGCGTTCATGGTGGGACAGCGGCGATTATGTCGAATTTCAGCCTTTACCCGTGGGTGACGTGCTTTTATGCAATATTGCGCCTACATTCTGGCTTTCGTCTATAGCTATTAATCTCAATTGTCAGTCCACGATGCACCGAGATTCCAACAATCATTCGATATTGCCCAGTGCTATGATTCCGGCCTCGTTATTCACAGGCGGACAATTGTGGGTTGAGCACCCGGAAGACTCTATCGTGATTGATGAAGCGCGAGGCCATGCGATTGAGCTCATGCTGCCATATGTCACTTCCCAGTCACGACTTAGACATGCCGCATTATCGTGGACAGGTGATCGGCTAGTGATTGTACTGTATTACATTCGCCAAGCTTGGCAACTGTCTGAGTTGTCCAGAGACCGACTCGTGCAGGGTTTCACATTCATCCCACTTGTGAAGAGAAACAAGAGTCTGTGCGTAGTCTGTGTGTGTGTGTCAGCTTTATGCTATGCAGTTGCCATCATGGTGTCATTCATGAGCCTCAAATGCCAGCGCTCAATTGCAGTTTTTGCTTCAACGATGCTGTGCAGGCACCTTAGTCTCGTGACCCATGGTGTCCATTTCCCGTGAGCACTTTCAAGAGATTATTGAGTGTTGGGCAAGATTCTGCACTCGGAGATGTACCATATTCTTGGAAGTCAGAGCCGGTCCGCTGAGCTTCGGGGAATGCTTGCCATACGTATCCATCAGGACAGTGGTGAAATTGTGCTTCCTAGAGACTGGAAGGCTTCGTGGTGCACAACGAGATTCCAAGTCACATGGCCAAGCCCAAGCCCAACCGCCTTCGCCGCGCCCCTATGCCCAACGTGATCCACTTCCGCAGCCTTAGGCTCACCCCTTCCTTCTCTCTCTCTCTCTCTCTCTCTCTCCTGTCTGCATCCGGGCGATTCATCATTGGAACACCGCTGTCTGCAACCAACCCTGCTTGGGCGCCGCTGCCCACTTTTCGCCCTCCAGCGTACAGGAAACACCCATGACCCCACCGCCACCCGGGATGGCACCGGGAGCACCGTTGAGTTTGACAGTGCGGACATCAGAGAGAGAGCATGATGCATCACGTTTGTCAGCGCCTGCAGCTAGTCGAGGGGGAACGGATCGTACGTCAGAGCTCGGGCTTTTGCCCTCCAAAGTGCAAGGGCGTCAGGTGCTTGGTCCTCAGCCACAGCGCACGAAAGGTCTCGTTCTCGTGGCTACGATGGAGATGAAAGTGATCGCGAGCTCCGGTAGGCGAGGTAGTCATCTGATATTCTCAGTGTTGCGCACTACGGTAAAAATCTTGAATGAGCCCTTGGTGATGCGAGGTGTCGAGGTAGATGCGCTTTACCTTGTCCTTGCTGCCGCAGATGTTGCTCTGAAAGTCAGTATAGGGTTTCTGTGTGCGTCTAGGTGTGCCATGTGGGAGCTTCATGCAATCGCTGATCGCATTTCGAGCTTCATTGCTTTCCGGCGCCATGCTTGCTTCTTCTATCTCCATGTGTTTCCGCAAAGATTCGACGTCGATGAAGCAGGAGAGCCTGAGCCGCCGAGGCTACAACAAGCTATGAGGGCACAAAGACGAATGGATGCATGCGGTCGGTCCATTATGGATGAGCTTCATGCGGTTTGCAGAGTTTGGGCCACGAGCACAAGAGTTCGAATGTGTCGTCCATCCCACGTTCATTCAAAATCCGTTTGTCTTTGTTCCTGTGACATACTTGTCGCCTGCAGTTCCGCATCTGGTCATCTTTGCAAGTGTGTGCAAAGCCTGGAGTGATTCGATTGCTCGAGTGCTTCCGAACAAACACTTGCTTGACTTTCGACGACTGCTGGTTTGCGCTCATCAGCGACACTCCGTAAGCCAACGGACTCATCGTTCTTCCGAAGATCAATTTCGAGTGAGTGCTGATCTGCTTCCTGAAATTAGGTTGCTGGTCTGCTGGTCATTAAGCAGTCTCTGCAGTAGAAGCGGACGATTTTGCAGTGAAAAGAAAAAGTCAAGGTGCCAACACGTTGCAATAGAAGCGTGCTATCTGTGCAGTAAATCTTGCTCGTCAGTGCTGCAGTGTTGCAGCTGATTGAGTGAGTTGCACGTGACAATCCTTCCTTCTGTCAGCGTAGCCATGGATAGTCAGATGATGGCTGATACGAGATGGTGAGCTTCGCAGGCCTCTACCCCACAGTTGCTTGAGTTGGTATGGGAAAATCTGGGATATAGTCAATCGAAGACTTCGATTCTCAGACGGGCCCATTCGCTGTCGTCACAAGTGCCAGCGGTGCGAGAACTAAAGGTTGTTTGTACAGCCATTCGATCAGCCAGGAAGAACGACATTCTTGGTACGGCCCGCAGAAGTGTTTCCTCCATGATGAAGCGGGGTATGAATGAACCCCTGTGAGAAGCATCAATTGAGCTGGCTGTGCACATTCGAGTAAAATGTTGTGTGAAGCAATCTCACTCTGAGCGTTGATCATCAACATTGTGCATTCTTTCGATGTGAAGCAGTGTGTGTGGTGTACACTCAAGAAAGCGCTTAGTGTTACTGCTGGTAGACAACTTGCCTTTGTTTTGATGTCGTCAGCGTGTGCTCCTTTAGCGCCTGCGGTGCTGGATAACGTACACCAGGTGTGAGGTGCTGCAAATCAAGCGTGAGTTGCATGGGTACCGGCAAGACGTACCGGATACTCAAAAGATCCAACAACAGCTGGACACCGTGCAATCACAACTACGGGAGAGTGAGCAACGCGTCGCTGAGCTGATAGAAGCTGTCGCTGAGCTGTTTCAGAAACCAAATCGAACCTTGCGTTTTGCGAGTTCCCAGTCAAGCTCCAGAAACGAGCTTGGAAGAGACTCCAGCAACGCAGCCATACCATGGATGAAAGCTGTCTGCCTACTACCCGTTCCCTTGAGGAAGGGGCGTGTATGTGTGTAAAACTGCTGTAACCAAGGTTTGTGAGAGTGCATGAACCAAAGCAGGGGCAGCAGGGGGTGCAAGCAGCTCGTTTAGTCTT